GCCTCCTGCCGCTGGCACTCGGTGGGTTACAACAGAGGGGAGCCTGGGGGGGGAACCAACAAACTGATGGGGGTCTGTGGCCTTGCAGAGCAGAGACTCATTCAGGAAACAGCCATGACACTGACGAGGAGCCACTGAAGGAGTCCAGGCTGAAGGAGGCGTTCTTGTGAGTCCAGAGTTGTGTAACTTCTAAAGGATTTCTAAACTTTTAACAGCCACACCTTCTTGCAGCAAGTAGTTCTGCAGCTAATGATGTACTGCATGAAGAAGCACTACCTCTTCTCCCCTGGAATTTGCTCCCCTGGTTCCTGTGTTTGAAGAGAAGGCATAAGATCTGTGTTGGGTCAGAGCAAAGCTCAGTCTAGGCCCATGTTCTGTTTTCCACAGCAGCCAGAGGTGGATGCTCAGGAGAGAGTATAAGAAGATGAATACATGGAATATATTACCTGACTGTCTTCCATCTCTTAGCATGTCTTATTTTGCTCTGGGACACGGTGATTTGGTGTTTGCCCATTCCCATTTTGCTGGGAATCCCCCACTCTGGAGCAGCAATGCCTCAGAGAGAGGAAACATCTGCTGATGTGATTCCCGGGGCAAACCTGGTCCTTGCTTCCAGTGGGCTTTGTGTTTGCTCCATGTCCGGGTGGGATTTGCACAGCACCTGCTCCGGGTGTTCCCCACAGAGCTCTGCCTCCCAGTCACTCCTCACCCTTCCTCTCCCCTCTGCTCGTTGCAGTTGTTTGGAGTTCCTGCTGGATAACGGTGCCGACCCCTCCCTGCGGGACAAGCAGGGCTACACCGCCGTCCACTACGCGGCCGCCTACGGCAACAGGCAGAACCTGGAGCTGGTGAGGGCCTGGGGGGACCCCTGTGCTCCCAGGAACGGGGGCAAACCTGTCAGAGAACCTGTCACACCCGTGCTGCCCGGGTGTGGCTCAAGGAACGCGTGTTGTGGGCACCGCAGGGTTTGTCCAAGGGGTGGGGTTGGCCATGGGGACCTGGGCAGCTGTTGGAATGCCATGGAGGGAAGACCTGGGCTGGAGGGAGATGCCCCAGAGGAAGGAGCTGTGTTACCTGGCAGAGGCAGGTGTGTGGATTTCCTGGAGCTGCGTGGGCAGAGGAAATCAGGAAATCTTGGACTAGCAGGGACTTGCTGCTGCCTCTGCAGCGCTCAGAGCCACGTTAGGGAATGGCCCATCCTGAAATTCAGGCAGATGAGCAGGATTTCTGACCCCTCTGCAGCTGCTGGTGGACAGGGTGCATGTCAAAGCCTCCAGGAGCCCAGGGCAGTTATGGATCACTTATGAGTTTGTCTTGTTGCTCTTGCAGCTCCTGGAAATGTCTTTTAACTGCCTGGAGGATGTGGAAAGCACCATTCCAGTCAGCCCTTTGCACTTAGCTGTAAGTACGGCTGGGGGGGCTCCTGCTGTGTCCTGGAGAGGTGCCCAGGGTGGCCTGGGCTCCTGCTGTGTCCTGGAAAGGTGCCCAGGATGGCCTGGGCTCCTACTGTGTCCTGGAAAGGTGCCCAGGATGGCCGGAGGAGGGAAGGTGTCGGTGGTGGGGGAGCAGCTCCTCACAGGCCTTTGGTCAAAGGCCTTTAGTTTGTCTGTTAAACTCTGATCTTTCCAGGACTTTCTGGGTGCTGCTGTTTGGAGTGTGGGCAGGGGTGTGAGTGGGCAAGGGTTTTGAGTAGAACCCAAATGCAAAGGAGGCCCAGTGGCTGAGCAGGAGCAGCCCTGCCCTGAGAGGCTCAGGGGCAGGAATTATCCTTCTGGGTGCCTGGAGGAGACAGCTCTGGGTGCCTGGGGGGGCACTCCCGGGCACAGCCTCTGCAGACACTGCTCCAACACGGTCTGCCTTGTCCCAGGCCTATAATGGTCACTGTGAAGCCCTGAAGACACTTGCTGAGACCCTGGTGAACCTGGACGTGCGGGACCACAAGGGCCGGACAGCGCTGTACCTCGCCACGGAGCGGGGCTCCACCGAGTGCGTGGAGGTGCTCACCAGCCACGGCGCCTCCGCGCTGGTCAAGGAGAGGAAGAGGAAGTGGACCCCTCTCCACGCTGCAGGTGAGGGAGGGCAGACGGGGCCGGGAGTGGGACCGGGGCCCGTTGGTGCCCCCGCGGCCAAGGATGCCCCGTCACCCGGCTGCTTTTTGGGGTGAGGGAAGGGGCACCGGCCCCTCCCTTTGGTTTTGGGGGCCCAGCCGTGCTTGTGGGTGACTCCTTTCCTCGCCCCTGTCTCCAGCTGCCAACGGGAACACGGATTCCCTGCACCTCCTGATAGACAGCGGGGAGCGGGCGGACATCACCGACGTCATGGACATCCACGGCCAGTGAGTCTGTCTGGCTGTTTCTTTGGGGTCTCTGTGGCACAGGTGGCAGAGGCAAGGGAGAGAGGGAATACTCAGACCTGGCTGGTTTCCAAGCCCACCCTCCTCCCTGCTGCCTTTCCCCCCCAGAACCCCGCTGATGCTGGCGATCATGAACGGCCACGTTGACTGTGTCCATCTCCTGCTGGAGAAGGGATCCACGGCTGACGCAGCGGACAAGAGGGGAAGGACTGCCCTGCACCGAGGGGTGAGTGTGTCCCTGGGGGCCCTGGAGCTGCTGCTTGGCCTCCTGTGGAGGCTGCTCGGAGGCCAGGCCGGTGGGAAAGTGCCCAAATTCCTTCCAGACACACAACACTTGGGAAGGAAACTGTGGAAGAAAGGTGCTCATGTGTTGTTAAATGATTCCAGGGGTGGGATCTGACCCTCTGGTCCTCTCTCCTGGCCACAGGCTGTGACAGGCTGTGAGGATTGCCTGGCTGCTCTGCTGGACCACGATGCCTTCGTCCTGTGTCGGGATTTCAAGGGCCGGACCCCGATCCACTTTGCCTCGGCGTGTGGGCACCTGGAAATCCTGCGGACCCTGCTGCAGGCAGCCCTCTCCACTGACCCCCTGGACTCCGTGGTGGACTACAGCGGCTACTCACCGATGCACTGGGCTTCTTACAGTGGTGAGGAGGGGCTGGGGGGACCAGGGAGAGCCTCCCCCTGCTTTGGGAGCCGTCGGCTCAGCGCTGGCTTCCTGCTGGAGAGGATGGCACAAAGCTGGGAGGGAGTTTTTCTCTCCCTGCCAAGCCCCATAAAAAAGGATCAAAATGGGAGAGGAGCTATCCCAGAAGAGCTGAGGCTGGCTCCTCCTGGATGCTGGACTTATGGGATGACTGTGGGGAGGTGGGACTGACACGGCAGCAGGAAGGGATGTCCCTGTTCCAGAGGGAAACCAGGGATGTGGCTGGGACTCCTTCAGGAGATGTGTGGAATTAGAAACCTCCTGAAGTGCAACAGCTTTGCTGCCAGTGAGGAAATGGACCTGTTGCCTCTGTGCTGGGGACTGGGAGTGTTTGGGCACCTTGTCTGAGCCTGTGGCTCCTTGGGCAGCTCTTTGGCACTGCTGAGGCCCCTCCAGGGCTGTGTCCAGTTCTGGGCCCCTCTCAGCAGGAGAGACACTGAGGGGCTGGAGCACGTCCAGAGCTGGGAACAGAGCTGGGGAAAGGGCTGGAGAACAAGGAGAAGGGTCCAGGAAGGACCCACAGGCCGAGTGCTGACACATTTCTGTCCCTCTCTCCTCAGGGCATGAAGATTGTCTTGAATTGTTACTTGAACACAACCCGTTTGCGTACCTAGAAGGAAACCCCTTTACTCCATTGCACTGTGCAGTGTAAGTGACACCTGGGACCTGCCCCAGGGCCTTCCCAGCCCCGTGGTGTGGGACTGGGGATTTGTGGTGCAAGTGGAGGAGCTCCAAACCCTGCCCCCCTTGCCAAGGGCTCCATCCTGGGCAGCAGCAGCAGCTGGGGAGGGGAGAGGAAGGGGGAGAACAGGGTGGGCCTGGGGTGTCCTTGGGACCTGGGGCAGCACAGGAAGGGGCAGGGCTGTTGTCTGACATGTTTCTGTGTTTCCTTGAATAATACCAAGAAAGGTGAAGGGGTGTTTTACCCCAAACAATTCCAGAGCAGCTGCTGTTTGTGTCAGAGCCCCAGGAATGTGCTGCTCGATCCTGTTCTAACTTCCCTTCTCATCCCCCCTCAGAATTAACAACCAGGATGGCACTGCTGAAATGCTGGTGGAAGCATTAGGTGCCAAGATTGTTAATAGCAGAGATGCCAAAGGAAGGTGAGCTCACACTCATCCCCGGTGCTGCTGTACCCCCCTCAGTGACTTCCACCTGATCTCCCCTGGCTCCAAGGGGCTCTGCTGTCCCCAACCACCCCGAGGTGGGTGCTGTGCCCTCCTCTTGACCCGCTCTTTGTGTGTTCCCAGGACCCCCCTTCACGCTGCTGCCTTTGCAGACAACATCCATGGTTTACAGCTGCTCCTGCGGCACCAGGCCGAGGTGGACACGGCGGACAAGCTGGGCAGGACCCCCCTCATGGTGGCTTCTGAGAACGGGCACACGGCAGCAGTGGGTGCGTGCTGGGTTCCCCAGGGGGGCTGAGAGGCTCCCTGTGGCTCCTCCACGGGCAGATCCCGTGGGAGCAGGGCTGTCCCTGTCCTCACAGGCACACTGGGGCATTGCTGGGCTCGGTGTGGCTTCCTCTCACCAGCACCTCTCCTTCGTTGCAGAGTTCCTGCTGTACCAAGCAAAAGCAAATATAACTGTGCTGGATGTCAACAAGAACACAGCTCTTCACCTGGCCTGCAGCAAGGTAGGGAGATGGCTGGGATTGCTGTCACTGTCACCTTATCACCTTCATGAGAAGGGTTGTCCCCCTACTCGTGCCCCACAGAGCAGAGCTGAGGGCCCCGGGCGTGCCCTGACACACCTGGGTCGGTTTTGAGCAGCTCAGGTAGCACAGACCCATCTGTATTTTCCTTGGGGAGCCCCTCTCTGAGTTTCCAGGATCACTTCCATCCCTGGCAGTGTTCCAGGCCAAGCTGGATGGGGCTCTGAGCAACCTGGGCTAGTGGAAGGTGTCCCTGCCCATGGCAAGGGGTGGAACAAGTTGATCTTTAAGGTCCCTTTCAACCCCACCCATTCCATGATTCCATGGTGGGAGCAGGAGGCTCGTGGTCAGCGGGTCCACACCGAGGAGGAGGCAGAGGGGGCAGCACTTGTGCCCTCCAGCCCTGCCCAGGGGACCCGTGTTAGAGGGTTGGGTTTAGGGAACGTTTCCATATCCCAGGGAATCCTGCACTAAACCCTCCGCTCTCCTTCCCAGGGCCATGAAAAGTGTGCCTTGTTGATCCTGGGGGAAACCCAAGACCTTGGCCTTATCAATGCAAGTAACAGTGCTCTGCAGATGTGAGTATTTGCCCAGCTGGTGCCCGTGGGACGGCACCGAAGGGGCTTTGCTGGGAGCGGGGGGATACCTTGGGAAAGGCGGTGGGAGCTCGGCTCCTGCTCCGGGAGCAGGTGAGCTCAGAGCACAGTGCCTGCCCTTGGAGCCGCTCCCAGGGCCCTGTGCTTTGGCACGAGGTGCCCCAGGCAGGGGTTCACCCCACTCCTCCCTCTCCCCAGGCCGCTCCACATCGCGGCGCGGAACGGACTGGCCTCCGTCGTGCAGGCCCTGCTCAGCCGCGGGGCCACCGTGCTGGCTGTGGATGAAGAAGGTGGGTGTCCCGGGGGGGTTCAGCATCCCTGGGAGGTGGGGGATGCCCAGGAGCTGCTCAGCCAGGATCAGGATTCCCACACGTCTCAGCAGCTCGTGGCGTGGCAGACGTGGCCTGGGGAGGACAGGAGCACGCGCCACTCCCTGTGAAAGCATTTCCAGGTCTCACAGGTGTTCAAAATGTGGGTTTTTTCCCCCCTGTGCACCATCTGGTGCTCCCTGGCTCCTGCCAGGCCCCAGCCCATCTGTGACTCACTTCCACCGTGGCAGAAGCTGCTGGTTGTGGCCAGAAGCTTTTTCTCCTGGCAGAGCAGGAATCCCTCCGAGCTGTGGTGAATATCCCGGGGTCTGCCGGGTGCTCCCGAGCCTGTTTGTTCATCTCCTGCTGGTCCTGCCACACTTGGGAGTGGTTCCTGCAATCACAGGGATTGACAGTGCCCAGAGGGGTCTGTTAAAATATTGGATAATTGAGATATTGGTAAAGACAAAGAGGTCAAGCTGTGGCTGCCCCAGCCCTGGGAGTGTCCAAGGCCAGGCTGGACGGGACTTGGAGCAGCCTGGTCTAGTGCAAGGTGTCCCTGCCCCTGGCAGGGGGTTTGGAAGTGGATGATGTGTGAGGTCCCTTCCCCCCAAGCCATTCCATGATTCTGTGTCCTGGCCCCCATCAGACAGCCCCGACTGCAGCGTCCCCAGGCCCCTTCCTCACCCCCGCCCTCGTTCCAGGTCATACCCCAGCCTTGGCATGCGCTCCCAACAAGGACGTTGCCGACTGCCTGGCACTTATCCTCTCCACCATGAAGCCTTTCCCACCTAAGGACGCCATCAGCTCTTTCAGCTTCAACCTCCTCAAGAACTGCGGCATCGCGGCCAAGACGGCGGCGTGCGGGGCCCTCCCCAACGGCAGCTCCTGCCCCTACACCAAGGACCGGCACAACGCCATCGGCCTGGACGGCTGTTACTCGGAGTAGCTTAAACTATGGGTGACCTAATATCTTATTATATTTATTTAGAAATTCTATAAATATAGGGCACTTTAAAGGAGAACAAGACTGGGCAGGCCAAGCGCGGCCCGGCGGGCCAAGAGTTCGGCGCTTTCCCCCTCTCGCCGGGTGCCGGTGCGGTGCCAAAGCTGCTCCTGGCAGTGCCCCTCCCGTCCCCTGCCCCTTCCCAATCCTCTCTGTGCCCTCGGTGGCCGGGCAGGAGGCGGAAGAGGCAGGATTTGGGCTGGGACAAGGCAGGTGCCACCACCCACCGCTGGTTTCCCCCCGGCCCGCGGGGTGGGCGAAGCCGTTCCCGGTGTTTCCCGGTGCCCTGTGCCAGCCTCCCGCCCTGCTGGGCTGCCCCCGGGGCTGCCACCCGGCTGGGATGGGGAAGCCTGAACTCTTGGTGGGATGGGGGGTGGGAATTTGGGATGGCTGGCCGGGGTGGGGGTCAGCTCCTGGCCAAGTGCCGCTGTCGCTGCTCCTCTCGGAGTCGCTCTTTCCTCCTCTCATCCTTCGAGTCCAAACACTTGAACCAAGATCTACTGTACCTGGGGACACTAAAATATCCTTTTGGCAGCTCATTTCTAGGGGAAAACGGGTGCTGCTGCCCGAGCCCGGCCGCGGATGCGCCACTGGAGCCTCCTCCCCACACCAGGCACTTTAGGGATTCTGTTGGTTGTTGGTTTTGATTTTTTCCTTGGCAAATTGTCAGATCCTAAAACGATTCTGCTTTGAGTTTCCCTTCCCTGGTTTGTGTGGCTGTTTCCATGCGAGAGTCAGTGTTGGCTGGTTGTTTTTTTAAAAAGAGATGAGAATTATTTATAGAGAAACGAACATTTACCTTTAAAAAACAACAAAAACCATAAAAAAAAAAATCAATGTTTTAGCCTTTACTAAGGAAACAAATGCACTTCTGAGTCCTTATTCACAACCCTGAGTAAGTCTGTGTTGCTTTTTCGGATGCAGCATCCTGGCAGGTTTCGTGGCACGTGTGGATGTGGGTGGGATCGTTGTTTTTTGGTTTGGGTTTTCCTTTTTTCCCTTTTTTTTTTTTTTTTAATTTTAGAAATCCTGTTTATGCTGCAGGTTTGAAGCATTCGAGAATGTTGCACTGTTGTTTTTTTTTCCGTTGATTTTTTTTTCTTTTGTTGTTGTTTTTCCTTCTGAATTACTGTAACAGTATCAAAAAACAATGTTTTCCTCCATACCACGAGTCTGTTCAAAGCCAAAGACGGGGATGCAGAGACCGGGAACGGGCTGGAATTTCAGGAACCACCGTCCCCCCCGAGCTCCTCTCCCACTGCAGCCGGGCCCACGTGGGGAGCACGAGGCTGGGGCCGCCCTGGGGGTGTCCCAGTGGGATCCCCCGGGATGGGAGCAGGGATGAGAGCATCCCTGTGTCCCCCAGAGCCCGTGACGGGGCTGAGCGAGCCCCGAGAGTGTCAGAGAGAAAAGGGCATTTCTGTAACCAAAATTACTTCTTTTCTTTGTCTTTTTTTTTGATGATTTCTAAATGAAGGTGGCTCCTGCCAGGGAGGAGTGGCAGGTGTAGGTTGTGGAGCCGACCGTTCCCGGGGCAGCTCCCGGGGGACACTCCCGGCCCCCACGGGCAGGATCCCCTCGCACTGTTTCTTTCTTTTTACCAAAGCCAAACTCTTAGAACCAAAAATGAAGTTTCAGTCTTGGCCTTTGGGTGATAAGCACATTTTCTTGGCGTTTCCCGGAGGAGTTTGTCCCGGAGGGGGGAGTGGGCCCGGGGCCCCCCCGGTGCTCCTGCTCCCCGTCCCGCACTTGGCTCAGCAAAGCACTCAGCAAACTTGCCCTTGGTGAGATCCTGGAGCCAGGGCCAGGCACTTCTGAGGGGCAGAGCTCTGCCTGCTCCAGGGGGATCTTCCCTGTGGATCCCCTCCTTTTAGGACAGTATCCCCAGCGTGTCCCCCTCCTCACTCCCCTCGAGCTTGAAAGGAAGCGTTGACCTTTCTGCACCGGATACCTCAGTTTGGAACCAGAATGAACTCACGAAACTTGAATCAAAAGATCCTTTTGGAAGATCCTTTTCAGTATTCTACGGAGGAGAACTGGAAACAGAGACTTGTTTACATTGCTGGCGAATCCGCACTCGCCTCTTGCAGCTCTTTCCCTTTCTGGGAGGAATTTAAGCATCACTTTATCTCCTGGCTGCTTCCCTCCCCCTTCCCACGGGGCAGGAAAGTGGGGCCAAAGTCCTGAGCCGTTGCCTTCAAGGGCTAAAGTGCTTTTCCAGGCACCTGGAGGGGCCGAGGCGCTCCCGGCCCCGGCCGGGCAGCGATTCCCGGGGGCAGGGAGGGTCGGAGTGGGGCTGTGATGCTCCCTCTCCCTGGAATCCACCCCTGCCCCGGGAGGGCCGTGCCCCCCTCGTGCCGTGGCCCTCGGAGTGGCCTCATGGCTGTCGGGAGACGGGATCCGGCACCATTTCACTTGAACGTGGCTTTTCCCCCCGTTCCGTAGAGCACACGGAAAATGCTGCTTGTCCTTCACCCCCCCCGGCCCCCTCCCTGTGTTTTGGAGTATTATTGTGGTTTTCAGTTCCTTTGCTTAGAGGAGAAAGCTGATCCTTCTCTTGGCCCTGTTGCCGTGCTCTGCCGTGTCCCCTCCGCTCAGCGACGCCGAGACAATCAATGTGATCTCCGTAAGGGCTTCTCCATCCTCTGCCACGCCACGCTTCGTGTCCTCCCCTCTTAGCCAGGAGCTTCTTCTCCCCTCCCCTGTGTCTTCTTAAAAATAGTAATAATAGTAATAATAAATAATAATAATAATAATAATAATAATGAGAACGGAGGGAAACGAGGTTCCAGCGGCGCATCCGTGGTCCGGGAGCAGAGGGGAGGGGATGGGGTGGGAAGGGCACGTGTGGCCTTGGGGGTCCCAGTCTTGTTCTCCTTTAACGCTGTATCGTATCGTTGACAGCACAGCTTGACAATTTAAGTAATAATCAAAGTGTTTGGTAATAATGCATTATTTTGCTAAACGAGATTTGTGATGGTTTCCCTGGTGCATTGTAAAGAGGGATGGAGGGAAACTTCCGCTGCCCCGCCCGCTGCCCCCTCCCCAGCCCCTCGTGGGCTCCCAAACCTGCTTCCCTCGGACCTTTATGCCAAAGTTGGACCATTCCTGCTCAGTTCTGCCCCTCCAAGCAGCGAATTTTTCGGCTTTTCCCCCCTCAATCTGATCAGTCCCTTGGTTTGGAACACGCAGGCACCGGATCTCCGTCCCCTTCCCTGTCCCAGCCTCTGGAAAAAGGAAGTTTCTCTCCGCCCCCTTGGTCCAAAGCACTTGCTTCAAGTAATAAGCACTTTTGTTAAAGCATGAGTCTGGATTCCCTTTAGCATCCCACGGGATAGAGAGCAGCGCGAGGGATACGAGAGTGTCTTTGGCTTTATTTTTTCAGTTGGAATTTTTAAAAAAAAAAAAAAAGTTCGTTTCTAGGGAATGAATGGACAAAGGGAAGTTGTGTTTTGAGAGAGAGAGAGAAAAAAAAACCTAAAAAAACCTAAAAAACAAACAAACTAAAAAAAAAAAAAAACCAACCCAACAGCACAAGTACATTTCAAGTCCCCGGGTGTTTTTGCACTGCCATTGCCCGAGCGAGGGGCTCCGGCCCCCTGAGCCATAGACCCTCTGACAAACACTGAATGTACCGGGCTCGGCGTCCCCGACGGAGCCCCAGTCCCCGAGCGAGGAGGAGAGCCTGGGGGAGTCTTTGTTGTCGCTGTTCCCCAGCTGCAGGCACTTGGAAACTTAGTTCTTTGGGGAAATGTGTCCCCTGTCCCGCTCCTGTCCCCTCTCCCATCCCTCTCCCACCCCTGTCCCCTCTCCCACCCCTGTCCTGTCCCTCTCCTGTCCCTTCCCCACTCCTCTCCTGCTCTCTTCCCACCCTTCTCCCATCCCTTTCCCCTCCCTCTCCAATCTCTCTCTCTTCCTCCCATTCCCTCTTCCACCCCTCTCCCATCCCCTCTCTCCTCCCTCTCCCTCTCCCCTCCCTCTCCCGGACGGAGCGAGGATCCCCCTCCCAAACTCCGATTCCAGCCCCATCGGCCCCATCCCGGGGCTGGAATCCGGCAAATAAAAAAGTAGCACTAAAAGCCAAGCGAAAAAAAAAAAAAAATCTCCAAACTCGTGGCATCAGTTTTGGTTTTGTTTCTGTTTGGGTGTTTGGAGCACCCGGAGCGTGGCGGGGTCTGTGCAGATCCCAGTCCCCGGGGGGAGGGACAAGGAAAGCCCAAAACGAGGAACGCAGAGTCCCAGGAAACAACCTTTTTTCCTCGATTTTATCCTGGCGTTCCGTGGGGCCTGAGGAGCCCCCCCGGCTCCCTGCCAGCACCCCCCCGGGGTCGGATCCGTGCAGCCCACGCTCACCTTTGCCTTCAGTGAGAAACCAAAGGAAAAAGCAGCCCCTCCCAGAGGATCCCGGCGGGATTCCTTGGTTCGGGCTTTTCTTTCTTTTTCTTTGCCTTTTTTTTTTTTTTTTTTTTTTCCCTCCCTCCTTTTCTTTCTGTTCTTTGTTTTTCTCCAAGGACACAAGGAGCTCTTCAATCCTCTTCTCCTGGCTGGAATTTTCTGGGCTCGGCAGTGAAAGGAGATTAAACCCCTCCCCGCCCCCCCCCAAAAAAAAAGCCGAGACTCAAAGAAGCATCATCGGGAGCTCCGGGTAACGTACCCACGGGGTGGGAGCTCCCCAGGGGAGCAGTGGCTCTGGAGCTGCCCTGAAATCCTTGGAGTGGCTCTGGAGCTGCCCTGAAATCCTTGGAATTGCGGAGGGGAGGAGCCGGAGCCCCCGCGGGGCGGTCGGGGATGGGGGGACGCGTCTCTTGAGGCATCTGTAGCAACTCTGTGTCTTTAATATCCTCCGTGTCAATGCTGCACCTCTGTATTTTATGCACATAAATGTTCCTTTGGTGGCGACAGGACAAACCTCAGCACCTGTCAGGTTCAGCCGACTCCTCCCTGTCCCGGCCTCTGCGGCCCCGGGGCCTCGTCCCTCTTCCCGTGCTGGGGGGAGGAAGAGGGGGAAGAGAAAAAAAAAAAAAACAAAAAAAAAAAGAGGAAAATAGCCTTACTCGACCCAGTCGTATCGATATTGTTCGTCAACTTGAAAATAATAAAGGAAACGCATGGAAACCTCCGGCTGAGCCCACGGCCTGGCTGTGCTGTTTGGAGAAGGGGGGTGTGAGGGCCTCCTGCTGCTGTTCCCCGACTTCTCAGGCTCCCCTGGAGCTGCTGATGGGCCTGGGCCTTCCTCCTGTCCCTTCTTTTTCCTTCTCTGAGCCCTTTGGGAGCGGGTTCCTGATGGCTTGGACAAAACTGCTGGTTTTTGGGGCTCAGCACTTGGATTTCAGGGGCTGTTGGCGTCGGAGCCGGGGGGTGCCAGGGGTCCCACCCTGCTGCTCTGCCCACTCACAGCCCTGTGCTGGTTGCCCTGGGAATGAGCTTTCCCAAGCTCTGCCTCGGCTGAGGACATGGATGGAGCCCCTGGCTGGGTGGAAGGAGAGGCCAGAGGCACGAGGGGTCTGGGACCCCTGAGCAGTCCCACTCCTGCTGTGAGACAGGGTCCCAGCCCCCCAAAAGGGTCCCAGCCCCCCCGAGGGATTCCAGCCCTCCCAGTCCTGCTGTGGGAGGGGGTCCCAGCCCTGCTATGGAATGGGTCAGGGGCTCCAGGCATTCGGGCCTGGCAGCATCTTTCAGAATTTTGCACTGTGTGAAGTGTGACCAGTTTGGGGGGGTGCAGAGCAGGGCACGGGTCGGTCACAGAGGGCTCGGCCCCTTTCCTGCCACCTTGGCCCCATCCCACGGGTGCTCCAGGTCTGACATGGAAAACATCCCGGAGAACATCCCGGGGAACATCCCTGCTGGGCTGTTTGGTGCCTTCCTGCTCCCGGGAGGCTCCTGTGGTGGCTCCTGCCCCCGCAGTGTCCGGTGCAGGGACATGGGTGTGACATGGAGGGGCTCAGGGTGTCCCTGTCCCGCTCCTCGGGCACCCCTGGAAGACCCTGCAGAGTGTGAAGCCCACCCTGCCCCCCGTGGGGCTGGGCTGGGACATCACCCACCTGTGACTGTCCCCCTGGCTGCCCCAGGGTGCCCAGACCCCGAGTGCTCCAGCCCCTGGATTTGGCTGCTCAGACCTTTGCAGGGAGTGAGCTCAGCATTCCCTGGAAAGGGCCTGGGCTGGTTCCTCTCCCAGCTGCAGAGCCCCAGTGGGAGCCCACCCTCCCGGCTCCCCCGAGCCTCCTGAGCAGTTACTTTTTTCTCAGATGTTCTGTATTTTCAGAAATCCTGCATCACCTTCGGGGAGGAGGAAGGGGAAGGGAGGGGAGGGAAAGGAACTAAAAAGATACTGAAAAAGGGGGGAAAAAAAGA